GAGCGCAACATGCTAGCTAGCTGCCAGTTGAGTTGACCTTTTATTTCTCCAAAACGATAATCCTGATTGAAGATCATAGACTAAAGGCAAGCAGTCGCACTCTAAGGATCCGGTCCGGAGCATCATAATTTCTGCAGTGTACAATAATTATTAGACTCAGGTGGAGACTCGGAGAGCCAAGGATAGCCCCCACCTCCATCCAATATGCCACCGCCCCCGCTGTGCAGCATCTGATGGTACTGTGGTATTCAGTTTAAAAAAAAACTTATAAGAAAAGAGTACCAAGGAGCTACAAGTCTACGCTATACCGGTGCTAGGAATATCCACTAATACCACCAGTTACTTTACAATCAGCTCATGCGATATTACTAATAATAATTACTTTGCACGAAACTGACCAACGGTACTGACGTTCTACACCTAACTGGCGATCAGCTCTAGCACATCTTCTTGGATGCGTCCTCTAACAGCCTTCCAACTACTTGGAAGGTTCTAAGTTAGTTATATAAATAACATAAGGAGGGGAAGGTAAGCGCAACCGGGTTATATCAACCAAGACAAGCACGAGCTGAAAGTCTCAGCTGTGAAGGACGTTGGTGGATGTACATGTACATGTACATGTATGTCAAGGTCAGCGGATACTGGTAAGGCCATCAGACAAAACTGTCAAACCACGATCCAATGACGCATACCTACATAACATGTAGATCTACCAGATAACTAACTAATACTTGTGTGGCTCTTAATATTCTGCTCGTGCTTGTCTTGGTTGCGCTCATCTTTCCCTCCTTATGTTATTATTTCTATAATAGAACCTTCCAAGCTGGAAGGCTGTTGGAGTACGTATCTAAGATGTGCTAGCGCTGATTGCCAGTTGTACTACATTGTAGTAGGTGTAGAACGTCAGTACTGTTGGTAGGGGTGTGGGGATAATGCTCGAAAAGGTGGCAGGTTCTGCTCGAAAAGCAGTGAAATTGGCAGAACCATACAAACCTTATGGCGGGCAATTCCTCGAATTCTGCTCCATTTCTTTATCCACATACCATACATGCATGAAACTCCCAGAAAAAGTACCGAATTCTGCCAATTTTTCTGCCGGCATTATCCCCATATGCCTAACTGTTGGTCAGCGTCGTGCAATGTTATCGCATGAGCTGATTGTAAAGTATCTGGTGGTGTTAGTAGATATAGCGTAACTTGTAGCTCTTTGGTCCTCTTTTCTTCTACGCTACAGTGTACATTATTTAATGTGTACATGTTCGTACCCACTTCTCACAACGGTAAACCTGATGAACGCTGGCACAGCAAATATAAAAGACCAAAACGCTTTTCTGTCGACCAGCCTTTGAGTCATTCTTAAAGTATCCATTGGTTTGAGTGAAAGATGCAAACTGGAAAAGTTTGAAGAAAACAATGACTGTCACCACCGGGACTCGAAGCAGTGACCCTCGCTTATGACCACGGTCCAGCGAGGTTCTACCACTAATAAAGAATATTACCGGTATAAGCTATGATATTACATGTATGGTGTAGTCGTCATCCAAGTAACGACCGTTTAACATTTTCTTCAGACTTCGAAACTCATGCTTCCTGTGAATCGACACAAGCGGGTGGGACGCAGCCCTCACTGTAGCTAGCAATAATTGTAGTAGTACCTATCAGCACTCGGAAGAAGACTGGAGATCGACACATACAGCTGTACCTGGCTGGCATCCAGCAGCCAAAGCCTGGCAAAGGTGGGGCTATGATAACATCATAATTATAGGTGTCAAATGATGGTAACAGCTCTAGGCAAGGAAAGGAGAGAAACACATATTAAACACTTTTAAGATATCGATCATAGGAAACACGAGAGGGTTTGGAGGAAAATAGGACCGAAAGAACTCCATCACCCACCCCGGAAGCATTACAAAATCAAGGATCGGCTTACGCAGGATAGCTGCCGAGTCCAGGAGAGCATTCTTTTGCAATTCTGACACAGAGCAGTAGCCGGTGATACAGGGTAATTGTTCCGCATCTATGAGTTTCGGGTTTATAAAATACAATCACCTTAGCACTGTGTAAGGATATACACATGTGTGTAAAAACATTTAATGTTGCTGCCGTAGCTTGCCTTGTTAATGTTAGCTCTTAACAGTGTTAATCTCCCCCCAGCTCTCTCCATCATGCCCATAACTGAACGTAGTGCAGCCCTACGTAATTTCCGCCTTTCGATGCCATCGGCTGCATGCACTCCTTTTCGGACCCAGAGTGTGCTGTGTCAGCTGAATTCCGCCAGACGCATTTAGCTGCAGCGTCTTGACCATATTTTTCAATGAGCTTCCATTTGTCAGCAGGCCTGTCTTTCTCACGAGATGGTAAATTGGTTTCAAGTCTTTTGAATGTGTATGTCCTTTCCAACACATCTACCAACGCATGGATTGCTTAGTCGGAGGCAAGACCTGTGGTGAAGCGGATATTACCGGTTTTCTCAAGGCCGGAAACCAAAACGTCAAAAATATAAAGGTTTGATAATCGTTGCCAGCTGAGGAACCTGAGCCTAGAGCCACCGAGAAATATTCAGAGAATTTGAATGATACATGTATAATTATGATATTATGATATTATGATATGGAGACTGTAGAGTACCTGTCCGAGTACCAGACACTGCAGAGTGGCCCTCGCACAGTACTGAATACCAGAATCAACAGAGGTCACTGACATTCACATGCACCATAGCCACATTATGAGTTTACCTTGATGCATACAAATCTGGACATGATCAGATGGCAGGCTAAGCGTAAACCTACGTGTAGTCCTTCGAGGGGGAAACGGCTTGGAGCAAATCTTTTAACAAACTCTTACGGTGGTGAAAATGCAATTCTGGCTATTACAGTTTAAACAACATTCTAGTCACGAGCAGCCGGAGTGGAGAGGTCTTGCTTCGGCGTAGTGTAGCTGAGGTCCTGTAAAAAACTTACAGAGGTTCCAGTTCAACTTTTATGCTTGGCTCTGGGCGAGCCACCAGCTTTAACACCCAGTGGGGCTTCTCCTGGTCCGGGCGTCTCGGTAGAATGCGGAAATTCAGCAACAAGGACATCAGCAGCACTTTGATTTCGTTGACTGCGAATGCCTTCCCGATGCAGCTGCGTGCGCCAATCCCGAACGGCATGAAGGAGTTCGATGGCCGAGATGCTACGTGCTCGCGAGAGAAGCGATTCGGGTCAAAAACCTCTGGATCCTTCCAAATCACTGGGTTGTGATGGAGAGAGAAGAGCATTACTTGAACTGGAGTACCAGGTGGAAGAATATAGCCTCCAATCTCAGTCTCCTGTTCAAGGCAACGCAACAGCATCGCCACGATGGTGGAATGCCGGAGCGTTTCGTTGATAAACTGCATGAGGTACTCCATTCGTGATAGCAGCTCAATGGTCATATTCTCCAAGCTGGAATTCCCAAGCACTGTCTGGATTTCCTGGCGACACCTCTCCTGGATATCTTGGTGTTCCTGTAGATAGTACACTGCCCACTGCATGACTGTTGATGATGTGTCATGTCCCGCTTCCAGGAATGTTTTCACATGGTCACGGATCTCAGCATCGCTAAAACCATGGCCGTCTTCATCTCTGGCTTTCAGCATGGTGTTTACCATATTCTCACCTCCGTCCATGTCTTCTCCGTCACTAACTTCCTTGTCGTCCAGTGTTGCTCGTCTGTCCCTGACAAGTTTGTCAGCAAACTCATCGACGATACTCAGTTGTCGTTTGTATTCCTTTCCCTCAGTCGTGAGATAGTACAGGAAATTGTTGTGCTTCGTTGGCGTGGTCAACCGAAGTGATGATGCCACAGCTAAATGCTTCATTGCTCGTTTGAAGCTCTGTACTGGGCTTGATTCCGCGCTCCACCAAGAATCCACTTCTAGTCCGATGCCAGTATGCATGATAATGTCAAACGTGACAAGCTGAAACAGAGCTTCGGTGTCCAGCAACTCTCCAACTTCAGATCGCAGTTTCAGTTGTTCAACCATATTTTTAGCCACAATGGCATAGCTTTGAATATATCGGCGCATCATGCTACCTCCGAATAAGGGTGATAAGAGCTTGTGATCTCGCTGCCATCTCTTGCCAGAACTCGTTACTAATCCTTCGCCAAGAAATTCTTTGAAGAAATCGAAGAGGTATGAGAACTTTGGTGGATCGGTTGCTAGTAGTTGAGATACAGTCTCTGGATGCCAGATGCAGATGAGTGGGATGGGCCCTCTTTGGATGCGACAGATTTTCGGCGTTCTATTCACCCACGACAAGAGTTGAGAGCGGTACTTGGTCAGATCTTTGGAGACATGGCCGTGGAGTCCGTCAGGCTTGGCCGGCTCCGGCACCAAGGCCATCAAACGCCGTCGTAGCGTCCACAATGAATACAGTTTTCTGCCAGTTCCAAACAGTGCTACAGCGAGAACTGCCAGGAGAATAAGTACCAAAATCGCCATTCCCGACGCCACCTATCCACCGTCGACTCTTTTATGGGCTGCAAGACTAGTTAGGGTACTGGGTAGCTGGTTATTGCTATTAGAATGAATACATTCTTATCTGTTCCCTTTGCTACATCTGCTCACTGCGAGCCGCTAAGCGAGCAGATACCAACAAAACCCTACCGCAGTACCTGTACTCTTCTTGCTCAAGCTCTGTCTATACTCTAGACTATAATTATTAAAAGACAGTGGGATGTCTAGTAATATGCATTTTTAGACTGAACCAGCTAGCTGACAGGCAGACTGCACTGGTCGGTCGACAGCCTGGGTGACAGGCGCCTCCGGCTCCGTGACAGGACGGAATGTCTGGCTGCACGCGCCCAAGCCAAGGCAAGGACCTGCGCGTCCAGTCCAGCGGAAACAGTGACTCTAACCAACCGTGGATGGTTGTAGTAAGGTCACCGTTTCCGAACAGAGTCACAGTGTCCTCCACCTTGTTTCATGCTGTCAAACTAACAACATGTGTGAACTACATGTATAACAAGGTTTACCAGTATCTAATACTAGTACATGTACATGTACATGTATGTACAGGGTTATGTCATGTAAAAGTATGAATTTTATGTCATGTACTGCACAAGTCACTTGCACTGAGTACCTTCACCGGTTGTCATGGTTGCCCTGTGAACATAAAAAATAATGATGTACATGTACCTGAATCTTCGATCATTAATTGGAGCAGAGCAACAACAGCAACAAAAATGTAGGTTTGCAACGGGCAAACCAAAGTTATCATGCCACAGAAGCACTCGCGGCCAGCGCCTCGCAGGCAGTCCGCAACGCCGGCTGTCATCGTACATCGTCCCCAAGCGTGGGAAAATGGCACATGCGCCAGCGTGGGACTCGCAGCCTTGTTGGCAGAGAACAGCAGCGAGACCTTTCTATGCAAACAAATTTGTTTGAGCACCTTGGCTTGCAATATCAGCAGTGTTGTGCGAATTTTCTCCCGCCCACCACAACCCACTTCTAAGTTCTAGCGCCTCCAGAAAGGGGGGAAGCAAGCAAAGCCCCTCAGCTGAATTCATTTTGGACCAATTCTCTGCATGAGCTTTCAAGCACTGGCGGCACGCGCTGCCCAGCAGCAGGACCACATGGTCCCAGCAGGACCAGCTGGTCCCAGCATAGACACATTGTGTCCAGCAGCAGGGCCAATTGGCCCCAGCATACAGCAGGACCGTCCGGTCCCAGCAGTCATTTGACTACCTGCGCACAGCCGTGCCCCACATGGGCACAGCAGCATTAGTTAGGACCACATGGTCCCAGCATAGACACATTGTGTCCAGCAGCCGGGCCAATTGGCCCCAGCATACAGCAGGACCGTCCGGTCCCAGCAGTCATTTGACTACCTGCGCACAGCCGTGCCCCACATGGGCACAGCAGCATTAGTTAGGACCACATGGTCCCAGCATAGACACATTGTGTCCAGCAGCCGGGCCAATTGGCCCCAGCATACAGCAGGACCATCCGGTCCCAGCAGTCATTTGACCAGCAGTCATTTGACTACCTGCGCACAGCCGTGCCCCACAAGGGCACAGCAGCATTAGTTAGGATCATTGGCCTTAATCTCTTGCACTGCCTGCCATCTACCAGCATTGTTACAGAATTTTCTACAATCCCGCTTTGCGGGGCCGCCGGGTATAAATGCATTGTTGCAAACAATTCGCTGATTACAAATTCTGTTACAAAACACTTGATATGATCCAGCCGCAGCAGCTCGGCAACCCCAACTTCCACTTGCTTGATGTGCGTGTGGGTATTATTATTATTATTTGCCTCTCCGCGTTTGCATCAGGGTGTGTTACTACAAAAATCAACAAATCGACATAATACACATCCACCCCTAGCATTCGCTCAGGCCGCTCAACAAGTCAAAAGACAGTAAGGACAAGAGAAAGCGAGGGAAGGGTCACAGAGCAGCGGGGTCGAAGGCAGGAAAAAAGAAACAGGAGGCAAAGGATATTGAAGAAATATATCAGATTGTCCGTTGAATTCACCATACATCATGTCATGTTCCGTTTGGGCAAATCCGGGCATTCCTCTGCAGGCTCAGGTGCGGAAAAGCTGCCGCCATACTGCTTTGTCCTCTGCCAGGTCCCTGATGTGTGAGAGATCTTTATCCGTCTGCAGCTTCATTCCCTTTGTTGCGAGGTCCGTTCTCAGTATTGTTGGGAGTGTGGAAGGCGGCCGGCCACGGAATTTTTTCTCCTCCTTTGTTTGCCGGAAGTATGATGTCATAGCCATTTGTGCTGGGGACTCCTTGTCCAGTCTGCAGATGTGACCGAGTAGTCGCATCCGAGCAGCTTTAACCAGGACAGTTAGGGGCTGTGTCTCTGTTCTGCGGTGGAGGTCATCGTTGCTGATTATCTGTGGGTAGCGGATACCCACAACAACTCTCAGGTGTCTCCGATATGTCGAGTCAAGAGTACACAGCTGAGAGTCTGAGAGGCCCCATGTGCCTGCGTTGTACATCAGCAGAGGCTTGATGAAGGCTTCGTAGAGCCTCACCCGTAGCTTTTCGGAGACCAGATGTCCGCGTGACCACAATGGCCACATCTTGTTGAATGTGCCCGAAGCAATCTGGATTCGGCGTGCGACATCCTCTTTGTCTCCAATAAGGGATCCAAGCTTGCGTGTGCGCCTCCACTCTTCCTCCACTCGGTCCTTCTTCCTCTGGATAGTAGTGCGTTCTGTTTTGGCTTGGTTAACTTTCAGGTCCCAGTCCGCGAGGCAGTCGCCAACAATAGGAAGGATCGAGTCCAGGTACTCAGAACTGGTGCTGACGAAGTCCACATCATCGGCATAACCTAGGGACGGCGGCAGGTTGAGGGTGATGTCTAGATTAGGTCGAGGTGGAATACAGGAGAAAACATGGCGCAGTGCAGTCTCGAGGTAGATGATGAATAACACGGGTGACAGCGAGTCACCTTGTGGGGTGCCAGATGTTGTTGCAAATGGTCGGCTTTGGGTATTTTTGATGCGTGCTGATAGTGTTGTATCTGAAACCAGGAGCTGGACCAGGCGCACCTCATCTGGCTCCAGGAATGACCGCAACACATTGACGAGTTTCCGGCGACTAATAGTGTCAAAGGCGCGAGACATATCGATACCCAGAATACTTATACTGGACTGCAGGTGCTGGCAGCGTGCAGCGATCCATCGATGAGCCCATACTACATCTGTAGTGCTTCTATTCGGTCTGAACCCACTCTGCATTTGCGATACATAAGCTTGAACTCGGGGGGTTATTCGTGCTAGAACCACTAAAGAAAGTACCTTGCGCAGGGCATTGAGCAGAACAATGGGTCTCAGACTACTTCCCGGGCCGTGTGGGTGATAACCTAATATATCACTCTTTTTGCCAGACACGCACGACCTTGTTTGTCTGTGCATCCAGACAGTGCTGCCCCTAGCGCGAGTATCACTGTGAACCTCGGTAAACAATTACTAGTATTTTGTCGAGGGACTCTAGGATAGACATGATACTGTACATCGCGGTACATGTAAAGGTAATACAATACCAGTCAAGACAGTATACATGTTTCAAGTTACTACTACTACTAGTAGTCATGGTGGTACTGTTAGTGTTCATGAATTTGGTGAAGCCTGAACTGCTGGAGGGCCTGGTGACCGCCTGACCGGACAGACGGCTTGCGCCAGCGTACATGTGCCATGTACATGTAGACGTTGATCTACATGTACGTCGTTGTCATGTAGGTGATTGCGCAACCACGTTTCTGTAGCTGAAGCGATAGCAAGCATGTCGTGAACACCTACCTGGTCTGGCTGTGCCCGGATCCAACCAGGGGAATGACTAAAAAAAGTAGCCTTTTCACAGTCATGTCACGTGAATCACTGCAGTGCAGCGCATCCTTTTTGCCAAGTAATTTTTGGGTCCTGACGCACGTGTGGCGCCACATGGCTGGTGTGGTTTTGGAAAGAGGTCAAAAGCATTGCCCAATCATAGAGAAAAGTAAATACTATCAGTCCACTACTAGTAGTAGTTTATGCTCAGTACAGACAGTGGATCTAAGACGAACGGAATGGCGCAGCTGTGAAGACAGTCGGTCTGAAGACTGACGTTGTCTACGGCTAGGCTCTGTCTTTTCAATGCACATGACTGTACTACAATCATTTACCTGTTCCTAGTAGTAGATTGGGCACACTTCAAATCAAGTAAGAGCGTGTAGTTGTCGGCAGTCTGGAGTCGGAGCTGGCCAGGAACTGTTTGGATTACACCAGCGTCCTGATGGTGAGCCCTGTTATCCTTGCAAGATGTCACCTATTGCACTTGTTCCGGTCCTGTTCATAATCGCAGGGGTTTTAGGTATTTGCAGAAAGGTATACTCATTGCTAAAGCTACGCCAGGACTTGATTGCTTTGGTGCCAGAGCCTGAGAAGGCACAGGGATTCCATGGCCACTTCTCCAAGGACCTGACCAAGAGTCGGGCGCAGCTTCTGTCATGGGTGAATTCCAAGCCAAAGATATGTCGGCTCAATCGAGCGTTTATACCAACAGTATGCGTATGCCATCCGGAGACCATCTCGCAACTCTTTGCTTCTAATCCGCCAAAGTTCTGGTACGTGATGGATTTTTTGAAAGAGTTTTTGGGCGACGGTTTGATCAATAGTACTGGGCTTAGGTGGCACCGGGATCGCAAGCTCCTGTCACCATTATTTGGAGGCACAATGCTGCGAAAGTATGTCCAGGACCTGAGCAGCGTGGCGAAGAAAATGGTCGATCAATTCACAGTCCGCTCGGCGGATAATGAGCTGTTCGACGGCGAGAGTATCTTTCAACTTGTCACATTTGATGCCATCATGCGTTGTATGCTTGGAGTTGATATAGACTCCTGGACCAACGCGAAATCAAGCCCTGTCGAACAGTACAAGCACGCAGTGAAGTATCTAGCTCAGGAGTCGGCCAAGCGACCGACAAATCCAGTGCTGCACAGCAACTTCATTTACTACCTAACATCCGAAGGAAGGAAATACAGCAGGCAGCTCTCAATCGCCAATGCCTTCGCTGACAATATCATTGAGGAACGACGGGGCACATTAGCGAGCCGAACCAACCCTGATGGCGCTTGTAGTGACGGAGTCAGTGCATGCAATATGCTTGATATCATGCTTAAAGCAGAGGATGAAGATGGCAACGGCTTGAGCAATACAGACATTCGACACCATGTCAACACGTTCCTGGAAGCAGGTCACGACACCACTTCCACAGTCATGCAGTGGGCAGTGTACTATTTACAAGAACACCAAGATATTCAGGAGAGGTGTCGCCAGGAAATCCAGACAGTGCTTGGTGATTCCGGCTTGGAACATCTATCATTGGATGATTTGTCGCAGATGGAGTATCTATTGCAATTCATCAATGAGACGCTCCGCCATGCTTCGGTTACCCCGCTCCTCTTTCGCCGTCTCGACAAGGAGACAGAAATAGGAGGGTATGTACTTCCTGCCGGTACACCGATTCAAGTGCTGCTGTTTTCACTTCACCACAACCCGCTGGTCTGGAAAGATCCGGAGGCATTTGATCCAAGTCGATTTTCTCCAGAGCGCACTGCAAGCCGTCTTTCTAATTCGTTCTTTCCATTTGGAGTTGGCGCACGCAACTGCATTGGAAGGCAGTTTGCAATTACTGAGCTGAAGATCCTCATCTGCTCAGTGCTGCTGAGTTTCCGCATACTGCCAAGAAGGAAGTCTAGTGAGGAGATACCAGCGTGGGTGCCAAGACTCGTAGCCAGGCCAGAACCAGGCATCAAATTCCAACTAGAACTGCTGCAGCATTGATAAAGAACTGTGCCTTGTAAGGAGCGACTTCATTTCATTCAGGATATCAACGGGAGTGCAAGAAGGTGCCTGCGGGTCATTTCATTTGTAAATATCTGCTAACGTTATTGCCCCCGCTTGTTTTTCAAGATCCATTGCTTCTTGCCTCCCGGTTAATTTCCATCTAGCTGTTTCTGGCTAGTACCAGTTCTATCGCACTTATTAATCATCCTTATTGGCGTCATGCCATCGTGGAATAAAAGAATAATAATAATAATAATTTTTTAGTGTGCGTTCCGTCATAGCAGACACTCTGAAGAACAATAGAAACAGTTATGTATGTAGTCCATGACTCATGAGTGAGATTGATTGATTGATTTTATTTGGATTCGCGAGACCAAACGAGCAGGAGTGCTCAATAACAGGGTAGCGAATGGTTGAGTTATGCTATGTGACAATGTAGTGTGTGCGTGGAGGGGGGGGGGGGGGGGGGAGCTGCGGAGGCCCAATACAATGTAAGGGGATGAGAGGAGAGAAGGCCAGCGGAGAGTCAAATTCAGAAGAGGGAGGAGAGAATAGCTGAAGTACACGGTTACTGAGCGAATTCAAATAAACCAAACAAACAGCAAAACAAGTACACAGCTCACGAGAATAAAGAGGACTGGAGCACAGAATTGAACTGCTGATGTACACAGCTGACGAGAATAAAGACAGGAGCACAGAAATGAACGGGAGGCAGTCTACGAAGTGGTGGTACCATCGGTGCATGCACCACGGTACATTACCATAATTATTATCGGCGCGGCTTTGCAAAGTTCGTGGGTACTGAATACCATGGTGTGTAGCAGTCTACAACGTGTAGGGAATGGCAGCTCGGCGGAATGCTGGGATGTTGCCCATGGCTCGCACTGTGTCAGGTATATGGTTCCATAACAGGCAACCGCGAGATGCCGGTCGGCATTGGCCTGCTCGGCTTCTGGCTATTGGTTGTTGCAGGCCCAGACTGCGCTGAAGGCGATCACCCTTAGCATTATTAATTTTTATTCCCGTAGCTATGCAGAAGACGTTACTTCAGTAACGTCTGGCGCTAGCCAGGGTCCACACAGCTTTAATTTGGTGTTTGTTTGTTGGTTTGTTTGTTTGTTTGTTTGTTTGTTTGTTTGTGTCACGCCTGGCGCTATCCCGTATCTGTCCCGTACCGTATCGCACAGCTGGCCATTTGCTGGTACTGGTATCTGTCCCGTACCGTACCGTACCATCAAACACAGCTGGCTACAAACAGCTGGCCACAATATTATGTACATGTATACGACTCCCTGTGTGTTGCATATGTGCTTGAAGGGGACGGTTGCACTTTTTGTAGCTCCGTTTTATCTGAGTTTTCAGTCGTTCCTCTTACTAGTCTTGCCAAGGGGGTGGCTCTGGGTCCACCAGAGTTTCCCCTGGCGTATTTCTGAATTTGCTGGGGCGAGGGTTCCGCGACGCGGTCGCCAAGGCAGTGTCTTTTCAGTCACCACTCTTCTATACAGTCATACTAACTTTTTTTAGTTTTTTTTGTTAGTTAACTTGTACGCCCTTGAGAAACGCCTCAACTTCAAAACCTATGTATTTGTTTACCGCTGCCTGAATGGACTTGCTAGTCCTCTTCTGCGAGACTGCTTTACCTTGCGCGCCCATGGTGCTCGCACTGCAGCCACCACCCGTGGCCAAGTCTCTGCTGCTCTTGTTCTGCCCCCCGCTAACACCCGATATGGCTTTAGTGCAATTTCTTATTTGGGCGCTGCCAGGTGGAATACACTTCCACCGGCTTGCCGCATGTCTAGTTCACCAGCTGAATTTCGCTCATCCATCAAATTATACCTAGGGTTCCCTGTAAAAAGGCGCTGACGCCTGTTGGGAGAAGAATAAATAATAATAAATAATAATAACGACCGTTGTCGTCCTCGTCTCTCCATTCGCGGTGGTGTAGCTGACAGTAATGCACCATGTACATGTATTTCTTATCCCATGCAGCACCTGCCCGCCTTCGCCATGATCTGAAAATGCCGCAAAAAACTGATTGCCCTTGTGTTCTCTATATGTTGTTGTTGTTGTTGTTGTTGTTGTTGTTGTTGTTGTTGTTGTTGTTGTTGTTGTTGTTGTTGTTGTTGTTGTTGTTGTTGTTGTTGTTGTTGTTGTTGTTGTTGTTGTTGTTGTTGTTGTTGTTGTTGTTGTTGTTGTTGTTGTTGTTGTTGTTGTTGTTGTTGTTGTTGTTGTTGTTGTTGTTGTTGTTGTTGTTGTTGTTGTTGTTGTTGTTGTTGTTGTTGTTGTTGTTGTTGTTGTTGTTGTTGTTGTTGTTGTTGTTGTTGTTGTTGTTGTTGTTGTTGTTGTTGTTGTTGTTGTTGTTGTTGTTGTTGTTGTTGTTGTTGTTGTTGTTGTTGTTGTTGTTGTTGTTGTTGTTGTTGTTGTTGTTGTTGTTGTTGTTGTTGTTGTTGTTGTTGTTGTTGTTGTTGTTGTTGTTGTTGTTGTTGTTGTTGTTGTTGTTGTTGTTGTTGTTGTTGTTGTTGTTGTTGTTGTTGTTGTTGTTGTTGTTGTTGTTGTTGTTGTTGTTGTTGTTGTTGTTTTTGTTGTTGTTGTTGTTGTTGTTGTTGTTGTTGTTGTTGTTGTTGTTGTTGTTGTTGTTGTTGAATTTGATTTAAAGTCGCAACACAAATAGGCGATGGCGTCTTCTTTTTATACATGTGAGCGACAAGACAAATTATAGCAATGGGGATGGGAGGAGGAAAAAATTGCACGTGAAAGAAGTCACCGAAGGTAACTGAATATGTGACAGATAGAGCTGCGGGAAAAGAACCCTGCTGAAAAACCGAAAACAAGGAGTGTAACTTACCGATGAAGTGCATATCCTAACAGCCTTGCAGTACATAACTATTTATAGAAAAGAAAAAGGATCAAGGAACTACAAGTAACGGTATAATGTCCACTAACACCACCAGTTGCTAAACAATCAGCTCATGCGGCGATAACATTGCACGACACTCACCGACGTTGCCGAAGTTCTACAACTAACTGGCTATCAGCTCTAGCACATCTGATTGTTCAGCAACTGGTGGTGTTAGTGGACATTATCACCAATATCCATGAATCTTCCAAGTTGGAAGGCCGTTGGTTAGCGCTATCGAGCAGTGCTCAAGCTCACGTTCTTGCGGTGGAATGTCTCAGTACTCCTTGTCAGTCTGGTGCTACCTTGTGCACAACTGACTGTTCAAAACCTGGTTTAGTTGGTGGACTCTAACGCATAACTTGTGCCCCACCGTTTTCCTTGTTTCCATTTAACATTAAGAAGACGGTTTGATTTCTCACGAAAGCGTGCACAAAACAGGGGTATGAGAACTAAGCGTTTGCATGTGTGTATCAGCAACAACAATGTGAGAATAAAGAAAAAGGGGCAACACGAACACATGGCGGACAGAATTGGCAACAACGGCGCCATAATAAACCAAAAAAACATCACTTGAAAAATTCAAAAGATCAGTTCTCCCAATCCTTTCAAAACTTGAACAATAACAAGTAGAAAAGAAAAAGGACATATTATTATTATTATTATTATTTGGAAAGGATTGGGAGAACTTCAAATTCAAATGATCAGTCGGGGAAGTGAACTGCCTGAAAAGAGAAAAAACGCCAGACCCACCAGGACTCGAACCAGGGACCCTGCTTGTCATGAGCAATGCTCTAACCACTGAGCTATGGGACCAGGTTGAACCTAGAAGGCGCTGACAACCGTGGTTGATCCCCTGGGGGAGGGAAAAAGACCCAAGTGCCATCAGTATGTGTGGCACGTGTTGTGAGCTGCCTTTGGAGTGAAAAACTTGTCAGCGCCTTCTAGGTTCAACCTGGTCCCATAGCTCAGTGGTTAGAGCATTGCTCATGACAAGCAGGGTCCCTGGTTCGAGTCCTGGTGGGTCTGGCGTTTTTTCTCTTTTCAGGCAGTTCACTTCCCCGACTGATCATTATTATTATTATTATTATTATTATTTATTACAACATCTCAAGACTCGGCGGAAACACCGGCCAATGTTACGAGAGTGAGTGATTGCCAACCACGGCGATAAATAGAAATAAGGGGAGGGAAAAGAAAGAGTAGCAAAACGAACAGCAACAACAACTCCGTAAAGAAAGATAATGTCAAATAAAAACAGTGAAAAACACAGAGACGCAAAGGACATGTGGATAATGAGCTATATACGCCGTAGTAAATAAGGGGCGGCACGGATCTTAAACAGGCGGAGTGAGGTCAGGTCCTTAACTTCTCTGGGTAGAGTGAGCCAAACAGAATAAGCAATAAAGAGAGGGGAGCGCAAAAGAGTGGATGAGTTACACTTAGGGAGTAAGAGCGAGTTTCTAGTTCTTAAAGAAGAGAACCAATTAAAACACATGAGATGAGGTGGGCACAACTCAAGCTTAATAGAATGGACAAGAGAAGCCAGGTGTGCACTGCGTCCATGTGATAACGGGGTTGTGTGAGCGATTTTATAAAGGGCGGATGATGAGAGCATGCGGGGTTGACGGAGGAGAATTTTAAGGATTTTCTTGTGGTGTATTTCAAGCTTTGCAGCAGCGGAAGAGGATAATCCAACCCAAGACGTATCTGCATAATCAAATATTGGGTGAAGGTAGGCTAAATAAAAAAGAAGCTTACAAGAAAGTGGGAGGTAGGAGCAGTGGGGGAAGAGAATTCCTAAGGATTTACTTGATTTTTTACAGATATATTCGATGTGAGGTACCCAAGAGAGTGCAGAGTCAATCACAATGCCAAGGTGTTTGTGAGAAGACACTATGTAAATTGGATTTGGAAAGTTGGCAGGGATGAGGGTTGTGAACTCCGGCTGGGGCGGGAAGAGCATGATCTTTGTTTTTGATAGATTTGGGGACAACCCCCAGGACGACATCCAGGAAAGAACTTCCTGAATGCCAGCACGCAAGTTGTTTTTCAGGCCAGTGAGGGAAGCTGATGAGGTGAGAAGGGTCGTGTCGTCAGCAAACAGAGACGTTCCAGGGAAGACTGCAGGTAAGTCGTTTACGTAAATTATAAATAGTAGGGGACCAAGAATTGATCCTTGGGGAACGCTCGACAATACTGGCTCTGCAGCCGAGGATGTGCCAAGCACAGTTACGTACTGATAACGCCCAGAGAGATAAGATTTCAGCCAGGAGAGTGGTTGTTTGCGTACCCTGAATGCATGCTCGAGCTTTGCCAAAAGTCCTCAATGCTAGACGGTATCAAAAGCCTTGGCCAAGTCAAAGAAGCAAATGCCAGCAAGCGCTCTGTTATCCCTATGCTGGCACACCTGCTGCACGATGCGGGTCAGTTGAAGGGAGGTGGAGTCGCCTTTACGAAACCCAGATTGTGCGGGACTCAGAAACGGCGAAACATGTCTGTATAAGTG